CTGAGCCAAAGGCAGATGCTAAACCACTGAGCCACCCAGGTGTCCCAAGAGCTGGGTTTTTTTAAAAAAAGATAAATGAAATAGACAAACTTTCAGCTAAACTTGCCAAGAAAAGAAAAAATAAGAGTCAAACAAATGAATTCTGAATGGAGGAGGAGACATCACAAATGACACAACACAAATACAAAAGATCATAAAACATGACTATAAACAATTACATGCCAACGAGTTGTTCTTTCTTGCTTTCATCTTTTCCTCTTTTTTTTTTGTTTTTGTTTTTTTTTTTTTTTGCTTTTTGTTTGCTTCCTCTGGGTTTATTTTATGACATTCCATTTTCTCTCATCTGTTAGCATAGCAATTATACTTTTTATTATTTTTTACAGATTTATTCACTTGAGATAGAGAGGGAGAGAATGTGCATGCACAGGGGAGGGGAGCTGTGCAGAGGAAGAGAGAGAACCTCCAAGCAGACTGTCTGCCAAACACAGAGCCTGACAGGAGGCTCAATCCCAGGACTCCGAGATCATGACCTAAGCCAAAGTCAAGAGTCAAACACTTAGTCGACTGAGCTACCCAGGTGTCACAGCAATTATATTTCTTAAAAATGTTTTAGGGGACACCTGGGTGGCTCAGTGGTTGAGCATCTTCCTTTGGCTCAGGGCATGATCCCAGTTCAAGGATCGAGTCCCACTTCGGGCTCCCTGCATGGAACCTATTCTCTCTCTGCCTGTGTCTCTGCTTCTCTCTGTGCCTCTCAGGAATAAATAAATAAAATATACTTTTTTAATGTTTTAAGTTTCCCTAGAATTCCCAGAATACAAGCAGGTTAAGTCTACTTTCAAATAACACTATACCACATCATGGGTAGTGCAGGTACCTCAGAAGAGAGAATTTTCCATTTCTCTCTCATCTTTTATAAGGTTTCTGTTATCCATTTCACTATACAGCAACTATAAACATTTAACATCTTATCACCATTATTATTTTGAACACAAGTTCTCTATTACACCAACTGAAAATAAAAAATGAAAAATTATACCTTCATTTATTCATTCTCTGGTGTTCTTTTTTCTTTATATAACTCAAATTTCTAACTCATGTAATTTTTCTTTTTTCTGAAGAACTTCCTTAAACATTTCTTGCAAAGCAGGTTTACAATCCCCATATATTTTTGTTTATCTAAGAGTATCTTTATTTCTACTTCAGTTTTGAAAGACAGTTTGATTGCATACAGCATTCTAGGTTAATGATTTTTTTCAGTCCTTTAAATATTTCATTCCACACTCTTCTTGTTTGTATGGTTTGTAAGATAAGTCTGCAATAAATAATCTTCAATCCTCTACCAGTGAGGTTCTTTCTTCTGGCTTCTTTCAGGATTTTGTCATTATTTTCTGATTCTATAGGTTGAATATGCTATGCCTAGTTGTAATTTTGGGGGTATTTCTCTTTCTTGGTGTTCTCAGAGCTTCCTGGATCTGTAATTTGGTCTTGCAAATCTTGGAAAATTCTGTCATTATTACTCACTTCTATTCTCTCTTCTTCTACTTCTAGTGTTTATGTCATATATTTGATATACCTTTGCAATTACGGCACAGTTCTTGCATATTCTATTCCAGGCCGGGTTTTTTGTTTGTTTGTTTATTTGTTTTGTGTTTTTGGTTTTGTTTTGTTTTGTTTTGTTTTTTCCATCTTTTTCTCTGTATTTTTCAGTTTGAGAAGTTTCTGCTGATCTATCTTCACAGTCACTGATGCTTTCCTCAGTTCTCTCTAGTCTACTGATGGGCCCATAAAGGGATTCTTCATCTCTCTTAAAGAGTTTTTGCTCCCTTAAACTTACTTTTTTGTTTGTTTGTTTTTTCTTAGAATTTCTTTTTCTCTTACTTACATTTACCTATTTTTGCTTTCATTTTGTCTACTTTTTTTCCATTGGAGCCCTTAGCGTATTAATCATAGCTATTTTTATGTTCCCAGTCTGATCATTCCCAAACCTCTGCTATATCTAAGTCCGGTTCTAATGCTTTCTGTGTTTTTCAGTCCACATATTTTCTTGCCCTTAGAATACCCTGTACTGTGTGGTTGAAAATCAGACAGTATATATCAGGTTTTAAAAAAAAGAGGTAAATAGGCTTTTATGTATGAGGTTTTTATGTTTATCTGTCTAGGAGTTAGGCTGTGTTTAAAGATTATTGTAGCTATAGGTGACAAAGGCCTCAGTTCCCCATGGTATCCTCATTCTGTCTTCCCAGTTACCTTTGGGTTTCCCTAGAATCTTTTTACTAAATAGAGTGTGCCTTGCAGCTCTCTCAGTTGTGCTTCACTGTTATAAAACTAAATATCTATTGATGTGGTGGTAAAATATTGTTGAGGGAAAGCACTCTAAAATCATATGATTAAATCTTAGATTTTGTGTCTCTTCCACCCCAGTGGGCCTGATCTCTAAGCTGTCAAATTCAGAAGTTTTCTTAGCCTTTTTTCTCCCTCCCTATGTGAGACAGGAAAGTTAGAAAAGAATTGACTTGTCTGATTGTCTTCCTTTTTAAAGTTTGACAGGAAAATTCTGGAAAGTTAGTTTCCTACAGGATAGGCTTTTGTTACAGACAGCAGACTTCTCTTGGGCATATTTCAAATGGTTATTTTCCTTCTCCTGCCCAAAACACAGGACAATTTTTTCCCCTGTTTCCACTCTGAAAACCTAGTAGAGCACCTGGATGTAAAAGACATAAAAGTGTGTGGAGTCCTACAACTGGGTCGCCAGGAGATTTCAACTCTCAAGTTATCCCATGTTCCACCTCCAGTAATTAATCAAGTGCTGTTTAATACTCAATTCCAATGGCTTCTGCTCTCAGTAAACAATTCTCTCTATTTACCTATCTCTCCATTTAGGGGGACAGCACTTTGTCTGCTCTGCATCTGCTGTTAATTTTTTTTGTTGTTCAACTCTTTTCTTATTGTGAGGATAGGAGTGATGACTTACAAGCTCTTACATATTGGAGTAGAAACTATAAGTCCTACTGTTCTTTATTGTAACTATAAGTCCTACTGTTCTTTATTGTTTTTCACAATACTTAATAATATAAAAACAATCTTAGTATGCAGACCATATAAACACAGGAAACATAGATAGATATGTACCTAAACTATATATACATACTTACTTTTCTACTTTGAGCTGATATTTTACCACTCTATTTAAATTGTATAAGTCTTATAAACACAGAGGTCCTGTATATAGACATAGATATATAGATATATAGATATAGATATGTATATATATATCTTTGAAAAACTATACCAATGTTATATTTCTTTGCTTTCAATAGTTACTTATGTTTTAAACTTAAGATGAAAAATTAGTCTACTTACTAGTATATTTATTACTTCTTTTACTCTTTCTCTATCCTTCAAGTTTTCCTCTAGGATTATTTTGCTTCAGACTTAAAAAATACTTAATAATTTCTTTTAGTGCTAATAATAAATTATTAGTTATCCTTCACCTGAGAATATCTTTACTTCATTTTTATTCTTAAAGGATATTTTCACTGGATAATAACTTATGAGTCATCAGTTTGTTTTGTTTCATTTTTGTCTTTCAGAATTGTAAAGATATTGTTTTACTCTCTTCTGAACACATGGTTTCTGAAGAGAAATTCACAGTCATATGTGTTATTGCTCATATCAAAATTGTTTTAACATTCTTATTTGATAATGATGATATCTGGATCCCCTATGGTCTGTTCTATTATTTGTTTTGTCTCATAATTTTTGGTATTATCTTTTTTTTAGAGTGTTGGGTCTTTCTGCTGCTGGGTAAAGTGCTGGATGACCAAATTCATCTAATTAGTAGCCAAATTAACTCCTGGCTAGGTTACAGTATTTTGGAATGCCCTCACTCTTACGTCTTAGCCTTAAAGAGATATCAGTTGAGAATACCTAGTGTCCATCATGGTTCCTCTCTTCACTGTATTCTAAACTCACTCTTATCTACAGAGTATCACAATAGTGCTAGAATTTTCCTCTACTTTTTTTAAGATTTCTGCTTGATTTCAGCCTCTTACAAATGTATTCAGCCTCAGCAAATGTATTGAGTGAAAACCCAAGAGTGTTGTCTCATTTCTCTCTCTCTCTCTGATATCCTGCTCGACCCTGTTTTCGACTCTAGGTTGACACATCAGTCACAAATGTATGCTGATTTCTTGTCATCTAAGTAGGTGATTTTTGTCCAGACCTTTGCTCAAATTCTCAGCTTCTTGCTAGTATTGAGAATTAGCAAATATCTTTAAAAGTATCCAACTGCAGAAAGATACTTCTTAAGGGTCTGCCTCATTCCAGAATTTTGGCCTTTGAATTCCTATTTGCCTAAACAATCCTCTGATGCCTTTAGACAGGTCTTTAAACTTGACTCAGTATTTTTATAGTTGATCTCAGTGGGCCTGTAGACCTGCCACAAGCTACTCCATTGAAGATAGAACTGAAAATCTTATTATCCTTACTTATTTTACTTGCTCAGTCCTAAGGTTTTCTATTTGAATTCTGTTCCCCTGTATTAAATATCAATCTCTGCCAAGTTCTTTGAATTTTTGCATGGTTACCTTAAAGGAGACATTACTTATACCATACTTTCAGATGTACTTCATTTCTATTCTTTGATGTCTATAAAAAGGCAGACATACCAATTCAGGAACACAAGGTAAGGCTTTGTATAGATAGTATTGTCTCCTAGTTGTTAGCCACTTTAATACAGAATATTATTTCTAGGTTCTGAACCATTTCAGTGCTTTTTTTATTAGTACTTTATGAATACATAAGCAGCCGTATCACAAGCTACCATAATGATATTTCTGCCGTTATTGTGAAAGGTGAAAGTATGCTTTATATTTCTTTTACATGTTGAATAATTCCAAGAATGGTATAACATATTGGGTTACTAGATAAATAATTATTAACTGAGAAATACATTGTTGGTTTGAATGTAAAAATCAAATATACAAAATAATATTTACCCGTCATAATCTTCATTGATCCCAGCAAGTGGTACTGGATCACAGTGTACAAAAATTACAAACCCAAAGAATATAAGTGATATAACAGATGTAACCATTACAAATCTCATAAGGGCTTTACAAGACATGTGTAACATGGAAGCAATGATACCTCCCAGAAGTTGGCCAAGTGCACCTCCTGGAAGTAAAACAAATCCTAAAAGAAAGGAGGAGGAGGAGAAGAAAACAGTTAAAAAAAATAGTCAGCTAAAGATAGCACAGAAAATTCATATGTTGATGCAATCCCTCTGCTCTAAACAACATAGATTTAAATAAAAAGACAATGAAAATTTAAAGGCATGATAAATATCTCAATGAACCTGAACCTTAAAAGAGGTACTAATTTGGGAATAGGGTTGAAGCTAGAGGCCTAATGGAATGATGGTGAAATTTTGCTCCTTTGTGGTAATGGCATCTAAGATAAACCCAGAACTTAATCCATGCAAAACAGAAGACAAGAACTGTCTTATTCAGAACTATCATTGGATAGCTGCCTGGATTTATAGTTTATAGCAAGAGACATGCCCATGATAAGAGTTCAGAAACAGTTTCATTACAAAGAATTAAACTAAACCACCCACTGGTTCTGTGAATGAGTGTGCAATATTAGAAATCTCACAACAAAGTGGGATTTCAGAATAGTCATTATGAGAAATAGTTTTCTTTTCAATCAAGCATAAAGGGTTAGATAGAGGCAAGCAGGAGGAGTAAGAGGAGGATGTGGAGGAAGAAGAAATATAATTGGAAAATATTCAATCATATGAAGGTAGCACAGTGAATGCATATATCAATGTAATCTCCTTTGCTCTAAACATAAAGTGGTAGATTTACATAGTAATATAGCAAAAGAAATATAAGAAAAAAAAGAGTCCCATTAACAACAGATTAAATTGATATCATTGAGAGTCTGTGGGAGACTTATAAATACTAATTTTAGGATGCTCAAAAAGATAAATGACAGTATAACTTCCATAAAAATGAAAAATAAATAAAAAGTCAAAGGAATTAAGTAAGAGCAGATGAACAAAAAACAGTAAGTCTAGACATTTAAAAATATAATTGTTAAAATAAAAAATGGAAGTCTCAGACCAGAGACATTTGAAAAGCTTATAAATTGGATAAGAACATCATTATTCATCCCCTACGTAATAAAAGAGAGAGAGAGAGAGAGAGAAACAAAAGAGAATAACCAAAACAAGTAGTTAAAAGACCATGAATACAGTGGAGAAATATGGTAAACATGACTCAGTTGAACAAGGTCAAATTCCTAAGTAATAAGCCATGGTGATAATATGCACCCTTGAAAAGATTTGGTGAAAATGTCATTTTACTTCTGTGATCTTCTTTCTAAAATCCATAACCAGGGGCAGCCCTAGTGGCTCAGCAGTTTAGACCTGCCTTCAGCCCAGGGCCTGATCCTGGAGACCCAGGATCCAGTCCCACATCGGGCTCCCTGCAGGGAGCCTGCTTCTCCCTCTGCCTGTGTCTCTGCCTCTCTCTCTCTCTCTCTCTCTCTCTCATAAATAAATAAATAAATAAAATCTTTTAAAAAAAATCCATAACCAGGGTGCCTGGAAATTTAAAAAAAATAAATAAAACCCATAACCACTGTCTAATCACAGGGGGAAAAAAATCAGACAATTCCCAAAAAAGGAACATTCTAAAAAATACCTGACCAGCACTCCTCAAACCAGCCAATGTCATAAAAAACAATGGAAGACTTAGAAGCTGTCAAGCCCAATAGAATTCTAAGTGACATGACAACTAAAGATAATGTATCCTGAGTGAGATCCTGGAATAGAAAAAAAGGACATTTTGTAAAAGCTAAGGAAATAAAAATATTGACTTTACTTAGTATTATATTGGTTCATTAATTATAACAAAACTACTATACTAGGGATCCCTGGGTGGCGCAGCGGTTTGGCGCCTGCCTTTGGCCCAGGGCGCGATCCTGGAGACCCGGGATCGAATCCCACGTCGGGCTCCCAGTGCATGGAGCCTGCTTCTCCCTCTGCCTATGTCTCTGCCTCTCTCTCTCGCTCTCTCTCTATCATAAGTAAAAAAATAAAAAATAAAAAAAACTACTATACTAATGTAAGATGTTAATAAGAGGGGAGACCATGACTCAATGGTTGAGCATCTGTCTTCAGCTCAGGGCATGATCCTGGATCATGGGTTGGGAGATCCAGCCCAACATTGGGCTCCCTGCAAGGAGTTTGCTTCTCCCTCTGCCTGTGTCTCTGTCTCTGAATCTCTCGTGAATAAATAAATAAAATCAAGAAAGAAAGAAAGAAAGAAAGAAAGAAAGAAAGCAAGCAAGCTATGGAAACTAATACTCAACGTGAACAATTACCTAAAAAGAGAAACAAAACCATATATTTAAAAACTAAAAGCTTTTCTCAATAAATATGGCTTAAATGAAAATATGATAGTTATAATTTAAAAATACTTAGAACAGAAAAATAATGAAAATTATACCTAAGTGGATGAGGTGCTACTAAGGACAATCTGTAAATAATTATACCACCATGATAAGGTTGTTAGAATTAAGTGAGTCAATATTTAAACATAGAAAAGTATCTGGCCACAAAGCAAACATATGAGTATTTGATAAAAGGTAGACATTTACAAACAAATTCTTTAGAAAGCAAAAAAGTACAAATAATAGAGTGGAGGCAGTATTTATCAAGAAAATTGTAGGAATTGGAACTGAGCAGACTTCAGAGAAGTAAGCTTGTGGGTAAGGAAATCAAGAAGTAAAACACATTTTACCCTAGAGTCTCAGAAATTAAGGGCAATGAGCTACCACTAAAAAGGAAGTAAGCTTGTGGGTAAGGAAATCAAGAAGTAAACCACATTTTACCCCAGAGTCTCAGAAATTAAGGGCAATGAGCTACCACTAAAAAGGAGGGAGATAAAGGTAAAAACAAGGGGAATGGATGGCAGTCTATATAAAATGTTAGCTCCAAGTCCTATCTCCATCTCTACGCCATATAACTGACCCAGGAAAAGACCTTTGGTTTATTCAACTTGAACCAAACAACTATCGGATTTGGGGAAACCAAGCACATTTGTGAGCAGAAAACTGAGAACGTAACTCAGCTAAGAAAATATTGGCTGTCAGGCCAATTGCACTGGGCAATAAGAAAATCCGGACACAGGGATTTCAACAACTAAATGGCCAGCTCTTTGAAGCCTCTCCCAAAAGGAAACTAAACAGTTGAAAAATCAACCAATGCACAGAACCTCCAATCAACTTTTTACGTAAAGATTTCACTGGTATATAGAAAAGTACACAAATCACAATTGTACATACTTATGAGTTTTCAAAGTGAATGTTCCTATGAAACCACAACCCATATAAAAAATCCAACATTGCCAGAAGATTAGAGGTTCTTTCATGCACTTAGAGGATTTTATAAAATATGGATCGCAAAGTATAAGTACATTAAGGCTTCTTTTGTTTGGTATGATCTTTGAAAAATTCACACACGTTTTTATATATGACAATAGATGATACCTTCTCATTGCTAAATAGCATTCTAGAATATATATACACCACAACTTACTCACTGTGATATTGTGAATGTGATGCAACTTTAAGAATTCATGTACATGTCCTTTTTTAAAAATATGCATTTCTTCTAGGTATGTTCTTAAGAGACAAACTTATGTTTGGTATATAACTAGGAGTGGAATTCCTGAATGAGGGAATATGTATATGTTCAGATTTTTGTGATATTACCAAACAGATTTATAAAATGATTAAGCCATTTACACTTTTACCAATAGTGGATAAAATGCCACCACTCCACATCCATACCAACGTGTATTTCTCTTTTGCATTTTAGCCATTGTGGTGAATGAATAATGGTATTGCCTTGTGGTTTTAATATGTGTTTCCTTAAAAACCAATGAAAGTGAACCCACTTTCATATGAATAATATCCAGTGGATATCATCTTCTATAGAATACTTTTGTCCATCTTTATTGGATTACTTGACTCACTATGATAGATATTTTTACATATTATAGACTTAAGTTCTTTGTAGAATATTTCTATTGAAAAGATTGTCTGCTTTCATTTTTACTCCTTATGCTGACATTTGATGAACACAATTCTTAAATTTTAATTTAATACCATTTTTTTCCTTTATGGTTATTATGTGATTTCTGTCCTATATAAAAAAATCTTTGTCTTCTCTAAGGCCATTAAATAATTTCCTATATTTTATTCTAAAAAGCTTTATAGTCTTACCATATACATTTAGATCTATAATACATCTAGAATTGATACTTGTGTTTGTAGTGAGGTAGAGGTCAAGGTTTACCTTTTGCATAAGGATACCTAATTGACTCAATGTCATCAAAATCTAAGTGATCTATTTGTTTTATTTATCTTAAATCTACATTGTTGAGGGTATGCCCATGTATAACTGTTTCATCTGCCTCACTGGCTGACTGTCCTGTCATTATAAATGATCTTTTCATAACAAGTAATGCCTCTTGCATTGGAGAATATGTCATTTAAAATTACTATAGTTATACCATCTTTCCTTCTGGTTAGCATTCACATACTAGAACTTTTTCTATCCTGGACTTTCTACCTTTTCATTTCCTCATATTTAAGGAGTATCTCTTGCAGGTAACATACTGAATTGTCAGACTAATCTGAAAATCTTTATTCCTATGTAATATAATTATTATTATATTTATCAGGCAGCAATTCTCCATGTATCTCATGTTTATCTATATCTAGCAAGCAGAATCCCTGATCGATCTTTGTTCTATCTTTTCAAGGATATGGGTATAGTGAAAAAACAGGCTTGGATAATAGAGATAGTGTTCTCCTCAAGAGAAGAAGACAAGTTTGCTCATAGTTTTGGAAAACAGATTATCGTGTCCCTCCTAGAATTAAGAGAAGATACATTTACTGTCAAGTATAACAAAAATAATGTTTTCTCTGGATCAAAAGGTGAGCATGGTTACTGTCTATCTATTATAAGATTATGCTCCCCCAGAGTTGTACCCACATTCATTACCTAACTTGCTTACACCATGCCCTGAACCCCCAGACTTCAGCGAGTCCACCCTTTCCAGTCATATTTACCTCAGTCCCAGGGCAGCAGGTCCCTTTCCCCAGAAGACTGGTACAAA